AAGTAATTGTGATGTTCAATCCTGATATTCAAAACTCTGCGGAATCTAGAGTCACCTATGAGACAAACCTCTAGACAGTGGTTCTCAGCCTCCCTAACATTGTGACCCTTTAATACAGTCCTCATGCTGTGATGACTACCAATCATAAAATTATTCATAACTGTAATTGTGCTACTGTTATGAGTCATGGTATAAATATCTGATATGCAGGATATCTGCTGTGTGAACTCCCACAGCTTGAGAACTGCTCTTCCAGGTGTATCTGCAATGGACTTTCTAAAGTGAGTTAACCGAGGTAGGAAGACCCACCCTAAATGTGAGTGGCATCATCCCACTGGCTTGGGTCCTGGACTGGATGAAAAGGAGAACACAGCTGAGCATTTACATCCATTTCTCTGTTTCCTGTCTGGTACAGTGTGACTGGAGTTTCATGTTCCTAGGGCCACAGTTCCCTCACCATGATGGACGGTGTCCTCAAACTGTGAGCCAAAATAAACCTTTCCCCCACTTAAACTGTGTTTGCCAGGTATGTTGTCACAGCGACAAGAAAAATGACTAATTTAGTAACTAACTACGGTGGCAAGTCTAGTGAATTGTAAGAGTCTGGACAAGGGGTATGTCGTCTCAGAAAGAATCAGGAAACTGCCAGCCTGGAAGGGATCAGAGTCATCAATCAGTCAGTTGTGGGTTTCTGCCTTGGAGAGAGGATCTTTTGTTCAAGGATGCTTTTATAAGAAATGAACCTAAGAGCAACACCAGGGAAATTCTGCCTTATTGTTGTCCTTCTAGGCTCTAGGGAGCTGAGTTTGTGCCACTGAGCAAATCCACCCCTGCTGGTATACAGAACACATCGGGTTTCTGCTGGCTAACACGCCTGTCTGACACTCCTGCTCCACTACATTTCTAACCAGACTCCACTTCACAGGAAGTGCAGAGAGATCAGCTCCCCACTATCAAAACAACTCAGGGGAGTTTTGAGGAATTGGAGCTCTTGCATATTGGGTCATGAATGGCTGTTGAATTTGAACATAGAGAATAAGGACTAATTGGCACCCACCCACCAGTGTGTACTACAGAAATTCTACCTGCTTTATAGCCTGTTCTTGGAACAGAGAGACTTTAAGAATATGTAATCTTTTTAGGAGTGCCAAAGACTAAGTTGTTGCTGGAGTTCTGAATAACTACTGAATAAGGAGTCCCAGTAGACTATAAAACAGCACAGGCAAGGATTTACAATAAATAAACAAATGGAGGAAAATTTCGGAAGGCTGAACCCTCACCTTGTGTGTGCTGAGCACTGTACAGGATTATGGTAAATTGTAGAAGGCAATACACATTTTCTCTGGTGAAAAAAAGTTTTTAAACTGAAAGGCATTCTGGTAGAACAGACTTAAATCTATTGTGAACCAGGCACCATTTAATGGTTATGATCTACCTTAATGGTTACCACATCATGCACTTCAATATTATATTATGTCTTTCTAACTTTATGCTTACTGTTTTAAAAGATGAGGTGTCATTGCACTGCTCAGGCTGGCCCCAGCCTTTGGCTATCCATAATTCGCCTTTCTCAGTCTCAGAAGCACCCAGGGCTACAGCTACAGCCATGTGACAGGTGGGGATGCTGAAGTACCACACCCAGCTACAGCCATGTGACAGGTGGGGATGCTGGAGTACCACACCCAGCTACAGCCATGCAATTGGTGAGGATGCTAGAGCACAGAATGTTTATTTAAGTGGCTCAGCATTATACAGCATATAGGTGGCAGCCCCAGGATTTGAACCAAGGCATTTCAGCTCAAAGAAATGTTAGTTGCGGTAATACACAAGGGTACTCCAAGCAAGGAAAAGACTTCTTTAGTTAATAGCAGGCTTACTGCTGTCTTTTTGACAGATGTGAAGAAGATTAAGGATCAAAGTATAAATAACTCTTTGAAAAGTCTTCATTCTCATGCATTTTAACTTCCCTGAAAGAGTCACACAGGCACAGGCTTGGGAAAACCATTTTATCGAAGCAACACTTACATAATGCATCCTGTGTGCCAATCAGTGAGTGGTCTTAGCAATCATCAAACTCCTTTAACCCCACAAGGTAAGGCTTGCCTATCATTGTCCCCATTTTCGCAGCAAATGAACCTAGAATCTTTACCGGCTGAGCCACTGATCATCGCTGAACTACTCTGAGCCTCCATTTTTCATTTGTAAAACTCAGATACGAATACTTCACACAGATATGTATGTTTAGCTGTGGACTAAATGTTTCATGTCGGACATGCTAGATGCTTGTAGGAAACATAACAGTAAGACTGTCCTTTCTGCAGCCAGGAGCAATAAGAAACAAGATATATACAAGAAAATTTAACTTTAAGATATGTTCTCACTAAAAACGATGTATTATAACATATCTAACAGTAATATTAATAACATATTAATGTATTTATAGTAAGCATCACAATATTTAAAATATATGCAATCTCTAACTAAAGACTAAAATATTTTAATCTCTTTCATTCATTCAAATACTAAAGTTCTAGAATGGGAAAACACTGACACAAAGATGGAATCACAACTGTAAGAGCAACAGGTTCCACATATTGCATCTGGAAAATACAGTTGGGGCTAGTTGATTCTATATCTAAACTGCATGTGTGGCTTCCAGTCATAGGATTTTCACAACTCACAGAAGATTCCTCACTGAGAATCTGCAAATGTTGGCTCTTACCAGCTGTGTCAGTGTTGGAGAAGAGCTTGAGAGATCTCCAGATGAACGTAACAATTTCTAGGACTTGAACTCTGAAAAATTTTTCTCTCACACACATTTTAACCTCTCCAAAAGAGTCACACAAGAACAGGCTTGTGAAGCCCACAGTATCTGATTTTTGTAGCTATTAGTGTCCTTAACCCAAGCTGCCCTTACTTGTAAACATATGTCCAAGCCTGGAAAATCCACTAAAGTTCTGCTGTTTCTTCACTTGATTTTAAAATCAATTTTCTAGTTGGCACATAAAGTTTGTAGACCACATGGGTTTCTCTGTGATGCTTTGCAACATGTGCTCACTTGTGTGATGTTGAATTGTGTGCTTGTTTTTTCATTTACTTTGTTCCATGAATTTTTCTAGCTGCTGCATGAACTTTGTATAGATTTGGGTGGGTGGGGGGGTCTTCTGTGATGTGTTACTGTACATGTGTTCCTGTGTGATATTGAACACTTTGGTGGGCTGTGAACCTATGAGCAGGAGCAAAGTTCTTAGGAAAGAGTTTTAGTTTTTACCAGAAATAATGATAACATGTGAAGAGATAGCCTTAGACACAAAGTCTTTTCCAAAGAAAGTGACCCAAAATGGGGACTTATAAAGATCTGTTAATCTTGAGATCCATATCTACTTGAGGATGATATAATAATGGGATACTAACCCCCAACCCCATTCCCCTGTCCTCACCACTATCCCAGTAAAGTTCTTCCAAATTTCTCATGTGATCACCAGATCTATACTGCATAAGATAGTGGTCACCAGGTCCATGTGGCCTATGTCAAGATCATAAAATCAAAGAAAATAAAAAATGCTCTTGTAACTCTATACACAGGGGGTCTGATGCCCTCTTCTGGCCTCCTCAGACATTTCACACACTTGATGCACAGACATTTATGCAGAAAAACACATGTACTCATAAAAATAAATAAATACATTCTTAAATAAAAAATTTAAAAGATGATCTTGGCACACATTTTTTCAGATTTACATATTTGCATTCATTGTTAAGTATTTAACTTCAATTTTTAAGAGGGATATAATATAGACAGTCTAGTGATGGTGATGCTTTTGACTTCTGACAATACTACAAGAGTTTTCTCTTCTTGGCTGTGCATGCCAAGGCTGAGCTCAGGTCTATCCACTGTGTGGTGCTAGGTTTTGTCTCCCAGAAAAGCCATATTGGGGTTTCTTTTGACTGTCCTTTCAGCCATTCCAATCCCCTTATACTCATGTTCATCACAAAAATTCCTGTGAAGCTACACAACACAGACATTTCTGCACACATCAGGGTGAATGGTGGTATGGAACACTCTTTCAGAACTCAGAAACAAGGTTATCAGTTTGTTCCTTGTGAACCTGTGATAGTGCTGTTTAGTAACAGGAGAGTGACAGCAGTTAGACTGTCAACTGGTCAAACAATGAAAGCCAAGGAGCATGAATGAGAAGTCACTGTTAGCCTGTGAGGTAGTCTGGTGCTCTGCTCCAAATTCCTCCCAAGGCTGCACACCACTGACCTTCTTTGTTCCCACTTCTTGGAGTGTATACCAAAATTATGTTTGTAGATGACATTAAAATCAGAATGAATACTTTCTTGATAAGCTAGTGTTTCATAATTATGGGATGCTCCTTGGAAATACAGATGCCCAGACTTTGCAGGAGGGCCTGAGAGCTTGGCTTTTTTGCTAATTTTCTAGGGGATAAGATTTTCATCCTTAGACACTTCAAAGTAACAGAATGTCCCATTGACTGAGACACCTTAATGGAGATCATTTCAATCAGCAGAATTCTATTTCCAAAACAGAAACAAAACAATTGTTTCCTTGCTACTCTCCAAAGCAAACGTGTAGAATTTCAGAGAGCAAATAACAAAATTGAGGTTGACATAAGGCACTGCTCAGAGGAGACAGGGATCTTACTTGTTGCTAGGAACCTGACACAAGCCCAGAAGTAATACCATTTATAGTGACCTTTTATCTGAAATCTGGCAAGCCATTTTTCCTAACAGCATCATCAACAGTATTTAGTACTTTGACAAATATGAATGATTACACAAGTAGTTCACTGATTTAAATGTAAAATAAAAAATGACTTTAAGAAATTTCAAGATCTACAGAGACCATTGCTATAGCTAAAACCTCTCCCTGGTTTTAAAAGGCCATTAACACAACTTAAAGATCCTTGCATGGAGCTGTCCCTTGCTTTTCCTGAGACTTTTAAGCCCAGCACATTAGACAAGCCCATCCTTACCACAGAGATGGAGTTGGAGAGCAGTGTGCCATCCTGGCTCAGCATGTTGGACACGGTGATCTCTGGCAGGTCCATGTTTTGTGGGTGGAATGGGAGCAGGCCATTGTGGTTCATGGGATGACACAGAGAGTGGTACCCAGACTCCACCTCATTCAGGTGCACCAGAGAGTGGTCAGGGAGGGAAGGAGGTGTGATGGGTGGAATGTTAAAGTCTTCACTTTCCAGACTTGGGCCAGGGTAGGACTGAAAAGACAGGAGCGACACAGATGGTAATTAGTGTCTACTTGTTCATTATTGTCAAGCACAGGGACACAGGGGCCCTGTGGATATACCTACCAGAAGCATTACAGATTTAACTAAGATATCCAAACACCGGGTGCTTGTCTCTCTTACGTATGGAAGAAGATGCCATGAGACATCCTCTGCCCATGAGACATACTCTTTTAGTATAATACCTGCCTCTGTAATGTGGCTTTGTTTTCCTAGGAAGTTGAACTCAAACCGATTTCAATGATCTCATTAAAATTTTTTAGCGTATTAATCTACCTGAATACCCTTTTCATGAGAATTGTGGGGGAAAAGACAATTTATAAAATTGTTTGATCAAACATGTATCATTAGACTCCCTACTGCTAAGATTATGGGATGTAGTAAAAATGAATTCCAGATGTCTGGGGCAGTTGCTTTTCAGTTTGAAAAACCTAGCTGTTTATATATATATATTTTAAAAAGTTATTAGTTAAGAAGTAAGTTAAGCCTGTGCTGAAGGGTGTGTTCACTGAAAGTTTGGTATAGTTTTAAAATGCCATTTTGTCATCAAAATAAAAATGAAGATTGCTCTCACAACTTCTGAGAACACTTAATTGATTTTATCCTAAAGGCTAATAACACTGCAACCATTTAAATTCAGTCCCTTTCATGGTGAAAGATATAAACAATATTAATATTATATAATACTAATTGTGAAATAAAAATTAATCAGTAAGATAAACAGCATTGGCACATCAGAGGCTGTTCTTTTATAAAGTAGCTTGAACACAGGAAGAGATCGAAGAGGAAAAGAAAGATTATATGAACACAAGCCTATTTAAGAAGAGAAAGTGGTAAAACTTGAAAATGATAGAAAGAATAAACATTGTTAGCAATTAACATCAATATATAGGGTCAGGAAGAACTTATTTTGTTAAACAGGTGTCATAATATGAGAAGAAACATTTTGGCTCAGATAATTCTTACAAGTCAATCTTTCAAATTCCGGAGGCCTTCAATGTTTGTGTGCATGAGTAACAAAGATACTCTTGTCTAACTGTACAGTGACTGCTACAGTGTGTAAGATTTGAAAGGAACAGGCAGAGCAGAGGAGCCAAAGAAAGTAGTGTTCTGTGTTCATTGGGTGTTCAGCCAATAAGCTTTATGCCTCCCTGTCCAAACGCCTCGGGTTATTTTTTCCAGATGGCGTCTATTTGTCTAACAGAAAGAAAATCTTCAACTTGCACTTGCTAAATGTTGAACAAGTTCTGATGTGTTTGTTTAGGTGCCGTCAGAAGGCACAATTAAATGGAGAGCTACTTGGAACATCTGGAGTCTGGAGGTGGTCAGAGAGAAGAATGCACAGGTATCATCTGAAGACTCTGCACAGGAGAGATTTGTATCCTTTTTACAGATAATTTTTCTTAAATATACAACATTCTGCTTAAAAAAGCCACCAACTCTTAATGTTTAGTCACTACTAAAGTCTTTTATTAATAGTGTAAATTTTTTATGTCCAAAAAGCATGTTAATGACCTGTGTCCAAATTATAAGACTGATTACCCTGGACATACAGACTTAGCTTGCAGTTCATTGTTGGAGTATTCAATATAAGATACAAAAAGGCCCGACAAAGGAGAAAGAATGTGTATTTAGTCACTACTATTTCATATAAAGTACAGGGAAGGTCTTTTCACTATCTCGTCTTTATGCAAACCTTGTAACTACTTTCTCTGCGTATGGCTATTATTCTTCCTTTTCCTGATGAGGAAACTGGAGTCCAGAAGTTCCTTAGTGATTGACTTAGTCCATGTGTGTGGGATGAATAGAAAAGGAAAGAGGCCATTTTTATCTCTTCCTTCCCTCCTTTCTATGTCTTTGTTGTGATCCAACCCAGTGCTTTGCAGATGCAAGTCTAGTGTACCTGAGCTCCACAGCTAATCGTTACCATTTTATCTGGCTGAATGATACAAAGCACCTTTGTTATACAAAATTTCCTATCAACAGCATGTTTTTCCTTTTCCCAAATCCTACCCACCAAGATTAAATATTTACTTGACATAAGCACAAGAATTCCCAATCTGTCTCTCCACCGGCACTGCAGATAGTTTTTGCAATACAGTGTTTAAGAGGTTAATCGGTGCCTGTTTGAAACTTTCCTCAATAAGGCATAACTAATACAGAAGTAAAGGAAAAAGCTGGTTTTAATTTCAGAAGTGCCATTAACCCTCTGAAAATACTCAGGGATATTTCACCCAGGGTATACCATGACTTTACATTCTAGAGTTTCTTCGGTAGTTAAATCTTAATTTGTGGAGTTTTAAAGGAAGGTTTAATTGGTATCGACTTACACTTGGTGATAACAATTGCACTGCAATTTAGCTAAGCTACATGGTTTATTTTCATGTAATTACACATTAAGGTTATTTAATCCGTACAATTATATGCCAAAACCACAGACTCCACAACTTAACTGGTAATGCATAGTTATGTGGGTCAAGAATTTTAACAACATAAGGTTACTTAGCAGTTCTGTCCCTTACATTAGAAGCCATGATGTGGTTACTTGCCATGAGCCTATTAGAAAGTAATTGAAGCCCTATAAAAGTACCATTGCAATTATTTAAATGTCCAAATGTGCCAGAACTTTTACAAAGTGCAATGGAGGACTAATTTTTTTAAATGTGGAAATGAATTAATCTCCAACACTGGCTTCTATGACATGGCAGGTATACCCTGATTCCAGACCTTATCTGTGATGTGTTTAATAAGTGAGATTTATATTATACCCAGTTTGCAGTTTGAGAGGATACAGCACAATAGAGTGTGATTCAGTACTTATTCTCACTCCACATGAAAGTGCTTGTCTCCCTTGTCCCCAACAAATGTGGAAGTCACTTTTATGAATAGAAGAAAGTACTTAGGGATAGTGAGGGAAAATGCATTCCTATACTTTTTATTTTAGTGTTGAAATTTACCTTGGTAAAAGGTAAGTTGGAAATAGGCATGCAAATAAACTAATCTAAACACATCTATGACAATCCAGTGATGCAAAATAACTCAAAACTCCTTTGACCACAGGCTCTTCACTGCGTACAAACAAAAAGAGCTCTCACGGCAATGCAGGTGATGGGCCTCACTGTATCCTGTAGAATCCAAGCACCCTCGAGTATGGGGTGGGACAGGGTGTACTAGCATGAGGCTCAGTTAATTTTGAAAAAACACAGATGAACCGTTCAGACTGCAAGGGGATTGTTTGAATCATTAAAGTAGCAATTTAAAAATGGCATCCTCCTCAAGAGAGTAAGTTTGTAGTTGTAAATAACAGAGTCCATGGCTATTGCAACTCATTTTCTTAAAGCATCAAAAAGGAGTATTTGCGCATTTTACTTAGAAAGTGCCACCTAGCTCTCTGATGAGAAGTAGACGGGTTGCATATGGTAATGATTCCTTCAGTGACTAAGCAGAGTTGTCACAGCATGTTGGAAAGATTGGCAACTATGGAGTCCAACAGGTAAGTTTGCATCTAGGGTCTTTAGAGCATTTAGAAGTTTGGTTTCTGAAGTTTTCTATTCCTCTTGAGCCTATTTTAAAACTCAATTCATAGAGTTTTTAAGAGCATTTAAAATATACATTAAAAAGTCCAATAATCTATGTTCTCCAGATAAATTGTGCTTGAAAGGGGTTGTTGTTAAATGGATTTATAAATGTGTTAGACTGGGTCACGTCTAATAACAAACACTTCTAGACAGTCTGTTGGGGGCTAGATGTTTAACACACTGAGATCGTATAGGCATTTCCATGGATTTGCCATTGGTAAGACCTGATAATGGAGAAAAGTATACCCCGTTTATACATAAGGTATTCAAACAAATATTAAAGTATTGAAACAAACAGCCAACATCATTTCACACTTAGTTGAATGAAATTAGATTGCATGTCTTTCTTGTCATGGGTGTGTGTGCTTGCATGTGTGAATGCATGCTGGTAGTGTATGTGTGCCTATGGTGTACGCATGTGTTTGTGCGGACATGTGCATGTGTGTGTGTGCATATTTGTAGAGGCCATAGACCAATGTTGGGTGTTTTCTTCAATCCTCCACCTTTACCAAAGGACTTATTATTTTAGTTTATATGTATGGGTGTTTTCTTCAATCCTCCACCTTTACAAAAGGATTTGTTATTTTAGTTTATATGTATGGGTGTTTTGCCTACACATGTCTGTGCAACCTGTGTCAGCATTGCCAGAGGAGGCCAGAAGAGGGCACCAGATACCTTGGAACTGGAGTTACAGATGATTGGTAATTGTCACGTGGGTGTTAAGAACTGATCCTGGGTCCTCTGTGACAGCAGCCAGTGCTCTTAAGGGTTGAACCATCTCTCCAGCTCCTCCAACTTATCTTTTGAAACAAGGTCTCTCACTAAACTTAGGGCTTACCTATTGAGTTGGCTGTTTAGCCAGCAAGTTCCCATGATTCTCCTTGTTCCATCTTCCCTGCTCTAGGAAACACAGGCAACTACACCTGGCCTTTCTATGGACTGGGGATTCAACTCAAGTCCTCATGCATGTGTGGCAAGCACTTTACCAACTGAGCTCTCGACTCAGTCCCTAAATCGCATGTTTTAAATCAAAGGATAAAATAATAGAGAACAGAGAGTGTGCAAAATAACTGAAATGCTGGGATTGACTTACTGATGAAAGGCCAACAACTTGGTTCCTTTAGGAGCCCTGCAGCCATGCACCCTGGGACTGTTGAGTTCCCATCCAGGCCAAATGAGAAGGAATTTGTGAGCCAAAATGACCATGCCAAATATGCACAAACAGTATATTGCCAGCCTCCTGGTTGTGTCCTGAATTCAGGGTGTGTGTGCGGAGGTCTTCCCAGAGCAGTTTTGGCAAAGAGGCAAATTGCTGAGGAAAGGGTTCAATTCTAAGCCTACAACCAAAGAGACCAGGGTCGGGAAAAATCCAGAGGAACTTTCTGATCAACTTTG